TGCAGCTGGGTTTGCAGTCTGAAAGCGAGCCAGGGCTGGGCCGGGCCAGGATGAGGGGGGTGGGGGGTAGGGAGGGAAGCCAGAGGAAACCAGAAAGGAAGGCAGAGGGAGGGAGCCGGGAAGAGGCTGGAAGTGGGGACGGGACAGGGCGACAGCAGCAGCGGGGCAAAGCAGGCGGCCCAGCCGCTGGGCAGCAGCCTCCGCACCCCACCCCCCGGGCAAAGAGGGCCAGGACTTGCAGGGTGGCGGCAGCTGCCGAGGGCACTCCAGGAGGACCACAGCGGGAGAGCCCACACTGGCAGGGCGGCTGCCACCCCTGCCTGCCCCACCAGAAGGCGTTGCCCGCACCCCTGGGACGGGCCACCGCTGGGCTTTTCCACGCCGAGAGTCCCTGGTGATGCTGGACCTTCTCACCTAGCGGAAAGGTGAGTCCCTGGGAGGGTGAATTGGCACCAAGGGGGGTCTTGTTGGCAAACAAAGGCGGTGGGTGGAGGAGGAAGAAGAGGGGCACTGCACCCCTCCTCACCGCCAGCCTTTGGTGAGACGGTGGGTGGTGGGGTTGCAGGGGAAGGGCCTGGCAAGATGGAAGGGGTTAAGGGTTCAAACCCTGCTCGAGAGCCAACGCGGCACAGTGGTGTGACCTGTGTGGCCGGTGACTCTCTTTCTCCCCCTGGCCTACCTCGTAAGGCGGTTGTTAGGATAAAAATAGGGAGAGTCCTGTATGTTGCCTTGAGTGTACTGCAGGAAAGGTGAGGTATATGAAGTAACCCACTACATAAACAAGTAAACGGCCTGTTGAGATCTCTGGGTAGATCTCGTGGGCTGTGGGGCGATTCCCTCTGAGCTGTTGTCAACCTGGTAAGGTTCTTCTGCAGAAAAGAGAAGCTGCCGCTCCGTGACAAGGAATGAATGAATGACAGAAAGGAAGAAGCCTTCGGAGCAGATTGGAAGGTGGGCTCCCTTCTGGTCTGAGCAGGGTCACCTCCAGAGGTGGTGGCCTGGGAGGCAGCCCTCGTTGGTCTGTGTTTCAGGGGCTCCTTTTGTTCCAGATGTCTGGGAACAGCGGGGAACGGCCTTTCAGTCTTCCTGTGAAGCCACCGGCTCATACATGGAGGATTCCCGGGTGGTTGGCCAGGATCCTGTCTCCCTCTTGACATTGGCTGGCATCCAAAGCAGCCCCTCTGGATTCCGTTTCTGGCTCTGGAAAAGACACGGGATCTCAGGACAGGGTGTGATTTAGATCGAAAGAACTGGGGAGGTTTAGCCATGAGAAAAGAAGACGGACAGGAGGCAGGAGAGCAGTTTTCAAAGACCTGAAAGGCTGTCAGACAAAGGAGGAGCAGGATCTGTTCTCAATCCTCCCAGGACATGCAACGATGGGCTCGAGTTACAGGAAGCCAGATTTCAGTTGAACATCAAGAAAAAAAACTTCCTATGGAATCCATGACCTTGAGCGGACCGAGGGCTCCAATATGTTCAGGAGAAATTTAGACAACCCCCTGGCAGATATCCTTTGGTTGGTATTCCTGCCTTGAGCAAGGGGTTGGACTCTGTGGCCTTAGAGGCCCCTCCCAACATCATGTTTTTATGATTCATACATTGATCTAGCTTGTTTTTGTACTTTTGGGGCAGGGGGTTCCATTCCCTGACTGCTGAGCAGGAGACGCTCCTCCTGTTGGATTTCTGCCACTCTCCAGCAGTGGTTTAAGCCAGAGAAGCACTGCCAAAAAAAAAATGGCAAACTTAGATTACATTTCCTGTTCTGCAAAGCAATTTGAGTAATTGTACAGGGTTTACCGCCACATTTCTGGAAAATGACTGCATTCTGCAGGTTGCCCTGGGTTGGCTGTATATGTATTTGTTGGGGGAACTGGTTTTTCCTTGATCAAGAAGATCCCCTGGGGCTTCATCGGAGCGTAGCAGAAATGGGAAACATCAACTTTTCTGGGCTATAACTCCTGTAACTTCCCTCTGCGCCAGCCAGTGCAGTGCAATCAATCAATCAATAAATCTCCATCATTGGGGAAGTGCATATAAAATGTCCTGTAACTTAAGGAGAAAGTTGTTAAAGCTCATACCAAAAAGCAAAATAGAGTTTATCAAAATAAATGTCTGCTCGGATCAGGAACAATCTGTTCATGTGGATCCGGCTGCCTGAATATGAAATCTCCTTTAGCCGTGTTGTGGTTTTCGCTGTCAGGACCCTGGAAGAGTGCAGTCCTTCCCCCCCCACCACCACCACCCACTTCAAAGGATGCTCATGTTTAGCAGAAAATATTAGCATGGTGAATACTACATAACCCATCATGCAGTGCGCCATGATAAGAATGGTCATGGATTGTAGGTTGCTAAATATTTATAGAATACTAGGCTCATAGAAGGGGACGTCAGAGGATGAGATGGTTGGACAGGGTCACCGAAGCGACCAACATGACTTTGACCAAACTCTGGGAGGCCGTGGAGGACAGGAGGGCCTGGCGTGCTCTGGTCCGTGGGGTCACGAAGAGTCGGACACGACTTAACGACTAAACAACAACATCAGCGTTATAGAGTCATGAAGTTTGAAGGGGGCTCTAAAGCCATTGAGTCTAACCCCCTGCTCAGTGCAAATTGAAGGATATCCGCCCGGTAAATGTCTATGTTTCTCTGGAAGCCCTCCAGGATCGGAGCGCTCACCACCTCCTGAGGATATGGGCTCCATTGCCATTCAGCTCTAGATTTCCAAACTATAGAAAAACATGGTTTGATGCCACGGTGTACCTCCTTGACAGGGGCTGGACTCCATGATCCATAAGGTCCCTTCCAGCTCTGCAGTTCTAAGATGATGATGATGATGATGATGATGATGATGATGATGATGATGATGGCCTCAAAGGGTTTCCTGCATCTCAGAAACATGGATAAAAAAACCTCTCACTAGCAGCCTTATTCATTCATGTCTTGCAAACTCAAAAGCTGTGGCTTCCTTTGGGAACTGGGCTGACTGCATATTCACTGTTCCTCTTTCCCTGCTGCCTTCCACCGTTCCCACCATCATGGTCTTTTCCCGAGAATCCTGCCTTCTCATGATGTGAGAAATAGCCTCAGTTTCCACATTTTTGCCTTCAGGCTTGATTTCATCCAGGAGCCACTTGTTCATCTCTCTGGAAGTCCATGCTATCTGTCAAGTTTCCTTCTCATGTGAGATTTGGCCTGAATCCATGTTGTACCAGTTTTCTTTGCTGCCTGACTTTCACATCCTTTCCTTGCAAATGGGAATACCGCCGTGTGGATAATCTTGGTCTCGGTGGTCTTCGGTGACACATCCTTACACCGGAGGAGCTTCTCTCTGGTTCCTTTAAAGCAGGGCTTCCCAGCCTTGGGTCCCCAGATGTTTCTGGACTAGTACCACAGATTGGTGGAGTTGGAAGGGGCCTCTAAGGTCATTGAGTCCAACCCCCTGCTCAAGGCAAGAACCCAAATCCAAGCAGATCTGACAGAGGACTGTCCCGTTTTCTTTTGCCTGCCTCCTGAGTTGGAGCGCTCACCACCTCTTGAGATGAACGTTTAGGGAACTGTCTGTGGAGCCAGAGGCGGGGAGTTCCATTCCCTACTGTGCTTCCCTGACAGTGGCGACACACAACGGTCCATAGCTTCTCTTCCAGCTCTGCAATTCTAAGATGATGATGATGAAGATGATGAGGCCCTAGAAGGTTTTCTTGGATCTCAGAAACATTGGTAAATAAGCAGTGAGGTCTGCGTTGAATGCTTTGGCATACGGGTGGAGAAGGAGAACACGGTGGCTTTGATCAGGGTTGGGAGATCTGAAGAAACAGCCGTGTATTTATTTTACTTTTCCAGTTCTTATCAGCCTCCCTTTTTTTTTACATCCTCTCCCATAAAAGCATTGTTGCATATCCTGAATTTTGACTTGGTACAAATGTTCTCCCTCACTGTCTCTTTAAGCCCCTGCATATCTCAATGAATAAAAAAGCCCAATAGTTTAAGAGGACTGACTTAGCTATGGTAGGTGTGCGTCTTGTCAGTCGACATTAAAATAACAAACTCTCTTTAGGATTCTGGGAGGGAGAAGAGGGAAGCCTCCTCCCACTTCTCCAACCCACTGACGCCCAATGCCTAGTCCTTTGTTAGACAATCAAGCCGTCTCCTCCATGAAGCAAAAAAAGGAGTGGAACAGTTTTTCAGCCCCATCAGGGAGAAACAAGCGAACCAAGGAATGCGCTTCGTATGCTTAAAATTGTTGCAGAAATGAATTGCAGTTCCTTCTTCTTTGTGCATGTGTGTGCATTTGGGGAGGGGTTGCCTGCCTGGCTTCCTTTCAAAATGGAGTACTCTCCCCCCCTCCCTTCTCCCCCCCCCACAGGACGGGGACCTGTTTAAGCCAATCAAACTTCTGTGGTTCTTTCTGTACGAGAACCCTTTGATCCCACAGATGGGAATTATAATCTATGTTCTCCTTTACATCATAAGGAACAAAATACTTTCACTACCAGAAGTCAAGGTGAAGGAGCAAACATTTGCAAGGAGAGAAACCCCCCCACACACACACACACAAAAGGGAGGGAGATAATGAATGGGATGATTCATGAGGTTAGGATGTTTTCTTTCTCACCAAGTCTCATTTTAAAAAAAGGCTTTATGAACAATGTTTTAGACGGTCTGTGGGTTGCACTACCTTTGTAGCTTAAGGGAGCAGGAGGGAATGGAAACGCACACTTCTCTCCCTGGCAAAGCCAAGCAAGGATGTTGGCCGGTCTTTGGGTCCAAGTCCCTATTGAAAACTAGGGTTTTTTCCCCCAGAGAAAAGGGTGGGTTCCCAATAACTGGGGAGGGGGAAACCAAGCTGAGTTGGAGTCACATCAATGGTGTGACTTACTGTAAGTCTCGAGTCCCCCTCCCTGAAGACAAGAAACCAAGTCCTACTGAAGAGTGAGGTTGGCGATGCGGTTCTCACATTGGTGACAACGACGCTGGTTTTCTGTCTTGCACAGAAGAGTGCATTTCTTGGGCAAAAACAGGTCCCCCCCTCCTTTTCTAGGAGGAATTGACCAAAAGGCAGTGGGCAGCTGAATTTAAGAATCTCGAACCCCAGATCTCTTGTCTCACAATCGGCCAACCCTTCAGTGTTTGCCATGTTTGTTGGCGCTTTGCTCCTCGAAAAGAAGGGTGCCAGAGACATTTTCCTGCAAATCACAGAGTCCCTGAGGAAATGGTGGCTTTTTCAGATTTTTTCCAACCCACACATGCAGTTGTGCTTTAATCTGAGATGCCCTGGACCTCTTTTACAAAGCATTCACTCTACGTATTCTCGAAGGCTTTCATGGTGGGGGATCCGATGGTGGTTGTAGGTCTTCTGGGCCGTTTGGCCATGTTTTGGCTTTTTCTTCCTAACACTTTGCCAGGCTCTGTGCCCATGGGCATCTTCAGAGGACAGGAGTCAGAGCTCTGTCTGTGCTCTGGTGCAGTTTGCGGGATAGTTGAGTATTTGTAGCTGTGGGATCAGCTTTTTGTCCTTTTCACCAGAACACAGAGTTCTGACTCCTGTCCTCTGAAGCTGCCGGCCACAGAAACTGGCGAAACGTTAGGAAGAAAAACCTTCAGAACACGGCCAAACAGCCCGGAAAACCTACAACCACCATTCACTCCAGCATTGAATTGCCCTGATATGCCCCATTGGCACAGCAGGGAACCCTAGAGAACTCTGTCAGCAAGAAGCTAACTCTAAGGCCCAAGGCTGAGACGGAGAAGCAAACAAGGGGCCATTATTAAAAAGGACTTGCAGAACTCATAGCCAAAATACCCCACCTATCCAGACATGTATTTTTTCTGTGATTCTTCTTTTTATTCCCCCTCTCCTCTCTCTCTCTCTCTCTCTCTCTCTCTCTCTCTCTCTCTCTGTATTGTTGTTGTTGTTGTTGTTGCTGCTGCTGCTGCTGCTGCTGCTTCCTCAAGATAACTGCTAGCGAGCTCAGGGGTAGAGCTCATCTGGCTGCAGAGCCAGAGGTTGGGAGTTTGATTCCCCAGCAGTGCCTCCTTGACAGGGGCTGGACTGGATGATCCATAAAGTCCCTTCCAACTGTATGGTTCTAAGATCGTTAGCAGTCTGGATTGCTCAGGGGTTGAGGTCAGAGGTTGGGAGTTCGATTTCCCCTGTCTCTCCTTGACAGGGACTGGACTCCATGATCTGTGGAGTCCCTACCAGCTTTACGGTTCTATGACAATTCCACAGCCACTAAGCATGCTCAACCTTTGCTGAGATTGGTGAGGGGAATGATTTTATTACTTTAAGGAATTTCCAGGCTTCTTACAAACAGCCACCCTTCGGTGGGAGGCTCATTGCTCACCATGTCCTGGAGTCCAGCCCCGTGGATCTTTCCACTTGGCCGTTCCGCATTCCTTCTCTATCAGGCTCCCCACCCGTTCCTGCCTCTCTATTTTTAGGGCGACCAGGTTGCGGAAATGTTCCTGTTCAGGAAAAGCAGGGGAGCTGTGCTTTCAACAGGGTTTTCCCTCTTGGGATTTCCGGAGTTTGTAAGTCCCGGGCTGGAAAACGGGAGGCCACCTGACCCGCCCCAGATAAGCTCTCCCTTGCTGTGTAATCGGTGGCAGATTAAATCTGATCATAGAGGTCCTGTTGGCCTGTAGACTGTTCCCAACGGCAGGTTAAGCCTATCTTTCCTGAACCTATCTAGATCTTCTTATAGTTGAGAGCCATGTGAATATCTCAGGAAAAAGTGACATGAGGAATGTGTGAATACATGGTGGAAAAAATGGTGGGTTTTGGCAGAGACACTGGCAAGTCTTTGGGACCAAGCCCAAGTCCCAAGTCTCGAGTCCCAAGTCCCAAGTCTGAGTCTCAAGTCCCAAGACCCAAGTCTTGAGTCCCAAGTCCGAGTCTAGAGTCCCAAATCCCGAGTCCCAAGTCCCAAATCTCGAGTCCCAAGTCCCGAGCCTTGAGTCCCAAGTCTCAAGTCCCAGTCTCGAGTCCCAAGTCCCAAGTCCCAAATCTTGAGTCCCAAGTCCCAGTTTCGAGTCACAAGTCTCAAGTCCCGAGTCCTGAGTCTCGAGTCCCAAGTCTTGAGTCCCAAGGCCCGAGTCTCAAGTCCCTTACCCCACCCCCCAGGGGGGGTGCATGCATCAAGACAGCGGCCCTGCAAGGGAAGCCAGGCCAGCACATGTGCAGAGACAGTGGGCAGGCTCCCGTCCCCGAGCCAGCTGCTGCCTCCCCAGCACTGTCATAGAATCCGGATGGTAGATGTGTAGTTGGAGGCAGCAGCCGTTTCCGGGAAGGGAAGCCGGACCTGCTGCCTCTGGAGGTGGGGGGGTGGCGGCATCGGCAGCAGCAGGAGGGAGAGAGGCCCATAGGGATGCGGC